AAATAATGAATTTGAATTGTTTAAAATTTTCGTCCGGGAGTAAGGGGTTTCCCGATTGCGTGTCACGTTATGAAATTAAAGTGGGGGTGATGGTTTGTATGGATTTGGATTATCAACAGTTGTATACCTAACAAACAATTATTTTTGTTAATTAATAATAACTCATCGTGTTAGTAATAATAATCATATACATACCCCAAATTTTCTAAAACTAATTTCAATTGTGGACCAATTAATCCCCCAGGATAATTTCCTTGTGACTCCACCTGTTGTTGGGACGTTAATCCTATCCATGTTTCTGCAGAATATACCATCAAAAAGTCGGAGGTATTTTCAAATGTAGAGAAATCAAGATGACCTAAAGTAGATCCTGGTCTAAATTCGATGGAAGTTTCTAAAGGTAAGGCAGATTTATAATTGACAGCTCCCTTTGGTAAAACTCCAATGGTCAGGGGTGTGATGGAGAGTTTATATAATTTTTTAGCAATTGTAAATTGAGGTGATTTAACGAAATCTGTTGTATTAACATTGGTTGTATTGTACTCTTTGAAGAAAGAATTTAATCGCTTAAAAAAATAGGAGATCGGAGTTCCATCTTTAAGTAACACGGTATATTTATCCATCGCGAATTCCACAAATATACCGTTGAAATTGATTTCTTCTAGGTTATTAAAACTATTTTCTTCATCAAGTTTAATATGAAGGGGTATTGTAGCATTATAACCAGGATATTGTGAATACGCATTAAAGAATCCCAAACCATGAATCAATTCATGAACCACGACCGATTTAAAATCAACTTGTAGAGGTTGAATTTCTGGATCCCCCTCAAACCAAAAAGGCATAAATGCATTGAATTCGGCAAAAATATCAAATTCAAAAAATTTAGCATGTTTCTCGAATTGGAATTGTTTTACTAAAGGTTGAGGGTACAATCTATATATACCATCATCATCTTTCAACGAAATATAGCGTGTCGCACCAGCTTGCCCTAAAGTAATATCAAAGGTTAGCACTTTACAAGATAAATAAAATTATTCTTGATTGTATATCTCATACGTACCAATTATTGATTTACAAGTTTCATTTCGTTCTGGAACGTCGCATAAATTATGAAATGCTGCGATTACTTTAACTGGTGTATTAAATTTTAAGGTTTTTGTAATTTCTTCTCCTGCCTTTACAAATTCATTTGTAACTTTTTGGCAGATTACCTCGGTTGATAAGCAATCTATTGTAAATTCAAACATTGAATCTTCTGGCAATTTTGGTGCATCCCTTTTAAAAATCTCATATTCATCTTCACATGCTACTTTAACCAACTTATTCACATTATGATGAGGATTATCAAAACAAATTGCTGCGGAAGTTGTAGTAATCAAGATACATATGTAAAAGCTAGTGAAGAGGATATATCGTTTCATTTCACAAGAAAAAAGAAAAAGAAAAAATTCCTTTGAATTTTTTTTTTTTTTTTTTTTCATTTCTTTATATACCTTTTGTTTGACTCCAAGCGTAGTATAAAACGAACACAAATAATGAACATTGGTTATTGTATTTTTTTTTTTTTTTTTTATTTTGCAATAATCTAAAAAAGATCAAGGATGTTATAAATATTCATTCCAGAAAAGGAAAGTCATAAATGACATTTTTGTTTTTTGTGTTTATAAGGTTCGGTTAAACGCCCACTGGTCGCACGACAATTTATCATGTGGAACCGCAAGAATTTATCTAAATATAGATTCAAGGCTTGAAAGAGTCAATATTTTCAAATTGTTGTGAATACTTCGTAGGAGGTAACTGTTGTGAATAAGAGGTAACAGATTGTATTTTTTGAAATTATAATTATTTTTCAATATACCCTCATGCTCTCATTTAAAATTTCACTCGCGAAATTGAATTTTTGTTCATTTATAATTCATTCAATTTTATCAAATTGTATTTTACTACGCATCAGTATCACGCATCTTGATGGAACCAAGGGATAAACCGCGTATTTGATGGGGAAATGAATGAATAATTGTTCGTTGGAGTTTTCAAAGTTGGATCCCGCGATCGTCGTGGCAAGTTGGAGGTTGTAACCTTTTCGTTAAACAAACCAACCTGCATAAACACTTGATTTGCATTGAATCTAAACTCCGTGTTTGTTCCATTGCAATTCAATCGTGCATGTAATCTCTATTGCATTTCGGACATATGTGATCCTTTAATACAAAAAAAACTTTAGGAGAACACCTAAAAAAGGTAACCATTCGTAAGAAATAAATATTTTATTCTTTTTTTTTTTAGTAAATAGTTTTTAGCAGCCAACCTCCCGTATTATGATGCTTATTTTGTAACACAAAAACTTGGCCATGAAGTAAAGTTTGGAATTCACATCGTATTTTTCGTTTAACGCTGCACAATGAAATCCGAGGTTCGAAGGATCATGACCCATATGTATCTAATAAGGTTATTGATGTATATTGCATCTCAGGACTCAGGTGTTCCATAATTCATCATTACTCTCTTTGAATTTCTTATTAGAATATATTTTTGAATGGGTTGATTGAAAGTATTCTCGATCAGAATACTCTAATTCATCCTCACTTTCACTTAGAATATCATCAAATTGTTTAGAGGAATGCTTGCTTGATGAGAAAAAAGCAAAAAATTTAAGGTTAACGTTAATGTGAGCAATATTTATTTGTTACACGAATGTTTATGGTAATCAATATAGAATTACAGCCAAATATTCTTTGTAGATATTTCTCGAATTTTAACTCGTACGAGAAAACACTCGAATTAACGAAGAACTCTAGTCCAGAGTTATAAGTGGTTCATAAAACACTATTATTTGTTATAGCACCTTTGTTTATTTCGAGAGTTCACATAATGAAAATTATAAATCTGTGATTTATTTATATACAATATACTGCTTATTTTAAAATTTTGCTTTCAAAATTATTCCTAATGTTTACATTATTTCTTTTAATAACGAAAGACCTGAGATTGATGTAAAAGTGTAAATGGAATAGCGTCATACAGGTAAATGAGATCCGAACTTCTTACTATTGAAGAAAAAGAATTGTCTTGAAGGAGGCGTGAAATTACGAGTCAGGAACTATGCATGATTTTTATAGAGCATGCTAACCATATAAATATATGCTGTATGATAAGTAGGTATTTCCTTTGTAACTTTGCCGAAATCATTGTGAATTGTATATTAATCACGTGCAAATAGGCTACGTCAAATCAAATCAAATCACAAGCTTAAATTTAAACTTTATCTTACCTTATTATACTACTTGATTTTCTAAATCTAAGGTTTGGTAACTGAATTTATTTCCGTGGTTCGTATTAAATGTCTTTCTATACCAACAAAATCTACAACATTCCCAACAATAAATAATTCCCTCGTTAAAAACTACTTTATTTTCCTTATAAATACTACATACACATAATAATGTTATAAAAAATACGCTAAAAAGAAATATTATAATTAGAATACAATGAGTTTTACATTGTTTTTCCGTCTTTAAATTATAATACCAAAATGAATCATATTCTTCTGTTGAATTGTAAGATGCGATTTTTAAAAACATGATATTTGAAAGAATTTAATTTTTTTTTTTTTTTTTTTTAAAAAAAAAAGAAACGAAATATCGACGGAATAAATCACAAATTGTACAAAAGAGGCTGTGCTAAATTTAAAAGCCACAAAAAAAAAATCTTTTAATTAAATTTCAACATATATCGGCATTTGGCCGTGGCCAATGGGGCCAAATAACTAGGAACTAATAATTGTATTAATACTTATTAGTACGATCATCGCTCGTGAACTTGATAAGGATACGGGTTAGCGAATTAATGGAAAGATGATTAAATCATGTATGTTTTTTATGTATGGATGGTTCCAACCAATTATGCCATACCGATTTGGTTTTTTTCATACGTGTATGGTTTCAGTTCAAATCCATACCGGTATTTAATATTTATAGTTTCATCGTTTCAATATCTGAAAAAAATAATCGAAATGACAACAATTAAAAACTCAAAGAAAAACAATAAGTCGCGTATGTAGTTGTTTTGATTTATAAATTATATTATAAAATTGTTGAAGATAATAAATAGTAAGAGCAATTTATAAAATGGAAACTTAATTTATTAACGTTAAAGCAAAAAAAAAATAAAAAAATTTAACATGTATCAATTTAATTAATCGAATTAAAAATTTAAAAAATTTATTTTTTCGGCTAATTGTATAAAATTCCAAATTCTGGAAAAATGAAATAGCTGCGACGAAGTATCTGTCATGATTGCTATATTCCCTTAAATTAAATACGATCATCACTTTCATTTCCTTATTAAAATTCAAACCTATTAACGAACAATTTTGGAATTTTTTTTTCTTTTTTGCCAAATAAATCTCTGTTGGGCACTTGATCGTAAAAAATATTTGTATTATTCAATTTTTTTTTCTCTCTTTAAAAAATCATGAGTATATTATTTTTATTTTTGCCCTTCTTTTCAACCTTTTTTGTCAGTTATGTCGTGGGTTTTAAATTTTTAAATGATATAAGCTGTACCGAGCTGAATTCACAAAATAATGAAATTTTATATAGTTATGATTGGATCATTAAAAATTTTCAGGATTATTACCAAATATCATCCAAATTTATTGCGAGTGACCGGATTTTTTCCCCAGTTCCGAGTTATACGCAGCAAAGTCAAAACAAATATTTCGAGTGGCGACTTATTTTAAATCCGAATGATGGCTTTTTTGGGGGTCATATCTCTATAGGTTTAATCGCTATTCAAACAAATTATGAAAAGGATAAGATGAACTTGAAAGAACGAAATGCGGATCATTTCTTTGAGCTGTTTGTAAATTATAATAATAGCAATGAGAAATATCTATTTGTAGAGAAAAGTCAAAGACTCAACTCATTTACTTCAACAAAGCATGGTGTATCATCGGCCTCGTTAACGTCGCAAAAGTATTTCCAAATTATGATAAGATGGATTTGATCGTTCGCGTTAATTTTTATAAAATTAAAAATAATTCGGTACCATTGCCAATTACAATTAATCCATACGAACAATATTTTGACGATGATGTGTTCAGTGACATCATTTTTACGTTTGATGGTAATTCTACAATCAAAGCATCTAGTATATTCCTTGCTACAAAATCTCCACACTTTAAAAATTTATTAGAAGGTACAAGTATTAAAGATGCCAATAAGATAATAATTAATATGGATGGAGTTGCTTATAATAGTTTTTATAGATTAATACATTACATTTATACTGGAAAGCTTGATGTCAATTTAAACTTTGGGGAATTATTGGATTTATATAATGAAGCTAATTCGAGAGAAATTCATGATTTGAAACAAATACTTAGTTGTAGAATTATTGATTTTGTAGACGAAAACAATTTGGATACCTTGTTTACATTGGGATTTACAACAAAAAATAATGTGTTGATGAATGCCGTTTTGAAATTTTCTGCTATTGGTCATACTGAAATTGTATTAGATGGTGTGATTCCTTATTCAACCTCTTCTTTACCGGATTTAAGGGATATTTTTGAAATTTCAGTGGTGTTTCTATATGAAAAATTTGTATCTTTTATTTGGATAAGTATCGCGTGTTTGAAGATCATTTGGGACGTACTAATGTTTGTCCTGTGGCTTGTGCATGTGTTACTTTGTTTTTTAATATTCTTTAGGAAATAAAATGAACGTTTTTTGGTTAGTTCGTTTATAACAATACAAATATGTCGTTTTTTTTTCTCATGAAAAAAAAAAAACCATGCGTATATTATCTTTTTACTTGCCCTTCTTTTCAACTCTTTTTTTTAGTTATGTTGTGGGGTTCGAATTTTTAAATGATATAAGTTGTGCCGAGCTGAATTCGCAAAATAATGAAATTTTATATAGCTATGATTGGATTATTAAAAATTTTGAAGACTTCTACCAAGTATCACCTAGTTTTATTAGGAGTGACCGGTTTTATTCTCCTGTGCCGAGCTATTTGCAACATATTCAAGGCAATTATCTTGAATGGCGTCTTTATATAAATCCAAATGATGGTTATTTTTTTCAGAGTCATATCTCTATAGGTTTAACCGCTATATAAACGGATTTTGAATACAAAAATATCATTGGTTTAAAAGAACGGAGTGCAGATCATTATAATAGAACTGCGAAATATATATCTGTAGGGAAAAGTCAAAGGCTCAATTCTTTTTCAACTACTAAATATGGTGTATCATCGGAAATTTCCAAACTTATTGAAACCGCAAAAATATTTTCAGGCAATCACAAGACGATCATAACGGATTTAATCGTTCGAGTTAATTTTTATAATATTGTACCTTTGCCAATTACAATTAACCCATTCGAACAATATTTTAACAATGATGCGTTCAGTGACATCATTTTTACGTTTGATGGTAATTCTATAATCAAAGCATCTAGTATTTTCCTTGCTACAAAATCCTCACACTTTAAAAAATTATTAAAGGATACAAGGAAGGACGCCAGTAAGATAATTATTAATATGGACGGAGTTTCTTATAATAGTTTTTATAGATTATTGTATTACATTTATACTGGAAAACTTGATGACAATTTAAGTTTTGAGGAATTGTTGGATTTATATAATGAAGCTAATTCGAGAGAAATTCATGATTTGAAACAAATACTTAGTTGTAGAATTATTGATTTAGTAGACGAAAACAATTTGGATATCTTGTTTACATTGGGAATTAAAACAAAAAATAATGTGTTGAAGAATGCCTTTTTAAAATTTGCTGTTATGAATCATATAATTACAGATAGTCATACAAATGATCATATAACAAATGGGTCTACAAATGTATATGTAACAATTATTTGGTTATATAAAATAAGCTTAGAAATCATTTGGTATATTTTAGTAATTTTATTTCCTCTATTTTGTTTATATATTTTTGTTTATTGTATTATAACCACTTTATTATCTTTTCTTTTATTAATAACTCAGGTTTATAAAAAAATCATTTATGTAATTATGAAATTAAAATTTTTATAAAATTTCCTTATATAACATAAAATAATTAAAAATTTATGTATTCATTTATACTCATTAAACTTTGATTTTATAAAAATTTTATTATTTATTTGAACTGTAAAAAATAAAATCAAATAAAATAATATTTAATTTATTAATTAATTAAAATTCAAAAATTTAAATTCTAGTATTTAATGTGTTCACTTTTATCTTTAATAATACAGTTAACTCTTCATAAATGCATCCCTTGAAACTGGTCATAAAGGTGCATTTAGAGAGGATGTGTATTTATAGAATAAGAAAATCACATGATTAATATTATACATTAACTATTTGTATTTATTAAAAATAAAAAATTATATAAAATTAAAAGCAATTATTATTACAAATTAATTTGAAATTAAAATAATTATCATTACTAAATCAAAGTATTATCCAAAATATTGATCTATAGTAGTTTGTTGCATTAGATTAATTTTTCTTTTTTAATAAATTTTTCAATTTTATCTGCTAATTTTATTTGTTCACTTACATTCTTTGTTGAAATAATAACATATACACAGCTTTTAAGCTCTGTAATACTTCATTAATACAAATAGTTTCTACTTTAATACTATCATCTATTTCATTTGGATGATTTATGTTTGGTATTATTTTAAATAAATTCTGAAAATTAGAAATTTCATAGACTATCTTTTCTTCAGAAATAACTAAAAATTCATTTACTCCCATCCTATTAAGAAGATTAAGAGATTTAATTGCTTTAATATATTCATTATCAAGTATATAAATATCACATTTATGATTATTATTTGTAAAAATACTATTAAAAAGAATTTTGATATGATTTCAGCAATTTCAAATAGTATTAGCTGTAATTTCATCTTATCTTGAATAATATATTAGATTACTTGCAGAATATTCTTTTGCAAGTCTTATATAAATTCACCAGCTTTAATATGTTCTAGTATTTATCTAAAATAAATAAATATTAAATTTGTAAAATAAAAATATTTAAGAAAAATTCACAATTACCTAATATTAAAACATTTGTAATATTTTTTAAAAGTTATAATTATTTCAGCATCTATTAACTGAAGCTTTAAAGTTATATTAGAAGGTAAAAAATAAATATTAATATAAGAAAGATTTAAAGTATTAAACTTATGGCTTGAACAATTATCTATTAGCAACTAAACACATTGTCTTTATGCTTTTGGCCAACTTGACAGTTAAAGTCTTAAAGTTATTCTTAAAAAAGAGTTAATAATATCTAAGCTTTAGAATTATTTTAATAAATCATTGATAAATTGCTAATTTTAACATTTTTAAAATATTATAATTTTGCATATTTACCAATTACTAAAGGATTTAATTTATATGAACTATTAGCATTTACACATATAGAAAGACACTCTTTATTTTTTTATGTCTAATAAATATCATATTACTAATATTCAATTAGGTTTTAACTTACAAATAAAATTATTACATTAGTATTTAATAGTATTAAGAAATTATAAACTACTAAATAAATGTTAAACAATATTAAAATATATACTAATAAAAAAGTCCTATTTCATCTATATTATAAATTCATTTAAGAGTATATTTAGTATATTTATTTTGTAATAATAATAGAGCTTTAGCAATAATATTCTTATTTACAAAATCTGCTTTTCCTTGAAGCTTTACTTGATAAATACTATTACAATCTTTAAATTTTTGAAGTTAATCATTAGAAAGTTAAATAATAAAATAAATTTAAATAAAATTAATAAAAATTTTGTAATAAATTAAAATAAATAAATAAGCAATTTAAATAAAATAAAAATAAATAAAAATAAATTTAAAATAAATAAACAAGTAATTCTATAATATTCCTTTAAGTACTTTTAGTTTGTTAATTAATAATTTAGTCTTCTTTATTAATAAAATATTAATTAAATTATTCTATATTGTTAAATTAATACAAATTTTTTAAGAGCTAATTCAAGTTCAAGAAATATAACAGCTTTATAATATTTTGCTTTTAGATTAATGACTTTTAATTAATATAAGTCAATTGGTCTTAATTTGCAAAATTTGCGTAATTGTAGATTTATCAACTTTGATTTTTCATTTTTATTTAATTTAATCTACTTATTAAAAATAAGTTTTTTTATTATTATGAGCATAAAAGCAGAAATTGTATTTTTGAATATCAGTCAAGGTGATTTTTTTTAATCATATTTATAAGCAAAAAATCTGCATATACTATGTGAGTTGTGTAATATTATATAGTTCAGAAAATTTGAAAACTTTGGATTACATTTTAGAAATTATGCAGGTTTAAGTTATATGAGATATATTTAGAAAATATGTATTATATAAACAAATTTCAAAAATTATTACATTATTAGAATAAAAAAAATATGTATTTAATACTAAGTCTTAACTTAGAATCAAGCAAATGTGTAATTATGAAGAGTATACATTTATGAAGGATGCATTTATAAAGAATTGACTATATCTTTAATATGCTTAGATATACTTAAAATTAAATGATATAATAATTCTATATTGAAATTTGCTTATTCTTATTATGTGACTCTAATAATTTTTGCTTAAATTTAAACAAAGGTTTCTTTTTTCATATTTGATAATCTAAATAATCCTATAAGTATTTAATAGGATTTAGAATTAAACTTTGTATCACCTAATCTAATCTGAAATTTTATGAGTTTCTATTCACTAAACTATATATGAAGATATATAGCATAAAATTCAGTCTTGTTGAAATATCATATATAAATTATTACAAATCTATGGTATTAAATAATTTGTAAGAATATTGATATATATATTAGAGTTTATATTTTTATTAATAACTACTAATAGTTCAATTTTATACTAGCTAAAATTATCCTAAAATATTACTAACTTATCATCAAACTTTAATTTAGATTAAATATAATTTTTAATATAAGCTTACCAACTTTACTCTATATACTTACATGATTATCTGACTTAAAAGTGCAAATCTAGATTTATTAGACTATATAATATTTTTCATTTCTCTTACTAATTATATTTTATTTTATACTAATTTAATCTATCAATTTGATGATTTTAAGTTAATAAAGATTTTTTCTAAAAACACAATTTTAAAAAAAGAATAATAATAGCTCTTGAAAATTTTTAATTAATTATATAACAATTATGATAAATAATTTTCAATGATTTATTATATAGATAAATAAATATTTATATTAATAAATATATAATATTTTATTAATTTTTTAAATATAACTTAATCTTTTAAAATTATAATTATTTTTTAGATTTTCTAGTAATAAATTTACCTGTAAACTTAAAAATGATTAATATAAAAGATAGACAAAAGTTTTTAGACACCTTTATAAATGTGATTTAACAAATTTTTATCATATAATTATAATACCATATTGTAATCATATAATTATCTATTATTTATTTACATAATCAAAATAAAAAATTTGTGTTATTTTTATTATTTTAACTTAATCCACTTAATCTTTACCAAATTGAAAAATAATAAAATAAAATAAAAAATTAATCAAAGAACAATGTGAAGCTTTATTTTACTACTACTAATATAGTAACAGTTACTAGAATATTGCAAAGATTATTAACTGCAGAAAATCAAACTATTTGTGATATATTAAAAAATGCTAGCACTATAAGATCGACTGAATTAATATCTTATTTTAAACAACTAACTTTAATTACAATTCCTTATTGTAATCATTTTAAATGAATTAAAAAAATAATAAAACTAAAAATTGTAATCTTTGTATTACTGAAATGCAGCAACTTTAATAAAAAAGTCTGGCCAAGATGTTTTAACTTGAATTATTAAATGAGTTTTCTATTTAAAAAAACTGTATTGCATGAAGAAAAACTTTTATTTTACCAGCGAATATAGAAGTATATTTCACATAATATTTAAAACATTAAAGTTAAATAAAGAAGAATTAGTCAAAAGTTATGTAGAATGATGAATCAACCTTTTCTCAATTCTAATAAAATTGCAATAGTAGAATGTAGTAAGAATCAGTAAAAGAATGAGCTTTATTCTATATTTTAGCCACAGTAAAGCATAGCCTAAACTATATGTATTAGAGCTGTTTTTCTCAAAAAGGAAAAAGACTAATTGTTACATTATCTAGAATAGCAAATGATAAATCATATATTATCATTCTTCATATTATAAATATGTTATGCTAACAATGAGATGAATATATCTTAATAATAATGGTTGATTTCAAGAAGATAATATCCATCCATATAAATTGAAAGTTACAATAAATTTTTAGGCAGAAAATGGTTTTCTTATATTAACTTAACTAGCTCAAAGCCTTGATCTTAATCCAATTGAAAATTTATGATATAATGGGTAAAATTTTAGATAAATTTAATTAGTAAATTAAAAAGTTAATTTTATTGCTATAAAGATTATTAAGAGATCATTTTATTCATTTTATTACTGTTAATAATTATATTATTAATAATAATCTATGTGTTACTAAATGATTACACTAACTA